CAGGGGGCAGGAGTGCATGGAGGGATGGACACAGGGAAGAGGTAACTATGGGGAGGAAGTGGGAGGGGAGCTGTTGCATTGTGGTAAATTGTAGTCAAGTGTCATGAGAAAAAGTGTATGTGAACTCCTGTATGGAAAGTGTATTTGCTCTGTAAATTTCCACCCAATCACAATTTAAAAAAGAAGAAGAAGTGCAGCCAGAATGCTCCTTGGAAGCAAGAATGGCCAGACTTTGTCTCACTTACTTTGGTCATGTTGTCAGAAGGGACCATTCCCTGGAGAAAGATAACGTGCTTGATAAAGAGGAGGGTTGAGGAGAAAGGGAAAGGCCCTCAACAAGATGGACTGACACGGTAGCTGCAGTGATGGGCTCAGGTGTAGCAAGGACTGTGAGGCTGGCACAGGACTGGACTGTGTCTCCATCTGTTGCACAAAGATGGAGCTGCTGAGTCAGAGCCGACTCACCAGCACCTAACAACAGGTGCGCTCCTTAGAGCAGTCAGAAGGGTAGTATTTGTGCAGAGAGATAGCTCAGCGGGCAGGAATGCGTAGGAAGGAAGGACAAGGGATAGGGTGGTAACCCCAGGGAGGAAGTGGGAAGAAAGCTGTTACATTATGGAAATTGCAATCAGTGTTATGAAACAAAATGTGTATGAACTGTTGTCTGGAAAATGAATTTGCTCTATTAACTTTCACCCAAATCACAATTAGACAAACACACATGCAAAACTTGGCAAAATGATGATGATGTTCATTATTATGTGGCTTGGTGTACGCAATTGGTAAAATCGTGCCTCTGGGAATGTAATAAAAATAAAATTTAACACTCATGGTTTTAGTTCTGTTCTCCAACCTGATCTCTAAACTTGCCATACTTTAGTGTTTTTTTTTAATGTTATTCTCCATTTTTCACTTAATATGAATAGGAATATAATTATCATTACTAGCAGAATAATGTTAATACTTCGTTAGTAACTTTAATTTTCCACTGTGTAGAATTTCTCAGTTAGTGTGTTAATAATCAGTTCATGCCTCCTGAATAAGTAATTGAACATTTTACCAGAGCATCCAGTCCCCCTATTGGCCACTACTAAAATTGCTCTTTAGAAATAGATCATTTTATATGACAGTAAACCTGCAAAAGCAAGGGACCTGTGTAAGGAGGATACTTGTCAGAAAAGAGAAACTGAAATATTTTCTACCAATAGAGAAAGAAAAGTGGTACGGCTACACCCTGTCAAAGGTGGAAAACTGGCAAGACCTGGAAAAACAAGACAGTCTTGTTGAGTTTCAGCTCTCCTGGCTTTCACTGTGTAAAGTTTAATTTACAGAGGTTTATATTTTAAAAGAGCAATAAATTTATGTTTTAGCTCATAGGAATATGAATAAATTCTGATGGATTGGTGATTTAATTCTGAAAAATGAATTTATTTTATAAAGAAATATGCTTGATTCTTTTCAAGAGAGAAGTATCCATTAATATTTCATTAAAATGTAAAATTATGCTCATTCAACAGAATGTTTAATTTCATTGTTATATTTTTGTTATTATATAAAGAAGAAAAATATTTCCCTCTCCTACAAGTGGTGCTAATTCTTAAAACTAAAATTAACTGTTTTATTTAATATTTTTTAAGAAACAATGTGATGATGAAGTTTAAGCTTAGTATTTCAAATTAGTCATAAAATAGCATCTGTGCTTAGATGTTTCTGTAAATAACAAGCAAAGAGGAGGCCTTTTTCCCCTCATTTTGTTCTTAAGCCTGGTGAATTGCACTGCATGGTGAAATGAATTGCTTTCTCCTATGATGTGTGTAAGGGGAGGAAGCGTGCATTCCTTTTGTCTGTTTTCTTTTCAGCACCCCCACCTCCACCGCCCTCGAGAGGAGGGCCCCTGCCGCCGCCTCCCCCTCCGCACAGCTCAGGCCCTCCTCCTCCTCCTGCCCGGGGAAGAGGCGCCCCGCCGCCTCCGCCCTCCAGAGCTCCCACCGCTGCACCGCCACCGCCGCCTCCCTCCAGGCCAGGTGTGGGAGTCCCTCCACCGCCACCAAATCGGGTGTACCCGCCGACACCTCCAGCCCTACCCTCCTCAGCACCTTCAGGGCCGCCGCCACCGCCTCCACCTCTGTCGGTGGCAGGATCAGTGGCACCGCCCCCACCGCCTCCTCCTCCGCCTCCACCCGGGCCACCTCCTCCCCCTGGCCTCCCTTCTGACAGCGACCATCAGGGTCCGCCTCCTGCGGGAAGCAAAGCTGCTCTTTTAGATCAAATTAGAGAGGGTGCTCAGCTAAAAAAAGTGGAACAGAACAGTCGGCCAGTGTCCTGCTCTGGAAGGGATGCGCTTCTAGACCAGATACGGCAGGGCATCCAGCTGAAATCTGTGAGTAATCCGTTCTTTTCTTTAGATCGTCCACGTAGGGGAGAGTCAAAGGAATTTATATGAAATCTTTGGGAAGTTTTTCTTTTTACTTTTGCCATTTATTTTTCAATTCTAATCTTTATTTTTCTTACATCAAATGCACAGATTTTAAGTATGGTTTTGATAAATGACTATATCCGTGTAACCCATACTTCTGTATCAATTATATCTCTGAAGCAGCCATAAATAATATATAAAGTGAGCACGATTGTATTGTAAGAAAATTTTATGAATACTGAAATTTGAATATTCATACAATTTTCACATATCACAAATTATTTTTTTTATAGCTATCAAAAAATATGTAAGATATTTGGCTGCTAACCAGAAGGTCAGCAGTTCAAACCCATCAACTGCCTCATGGGAGGAAGATGAGTCAGTCTACTTCTGTAAAGATTTACAACCTTGAAAACCCAGTGGGGGTCACTATGACTAGGAATTGACTCTGTGGATTATCTAAAAATATAAAACTGATTCTTAGCTTTTAAGTCCTACAAAAGCAGAGGGCAGTATGGACTTAGCTTAGCCTGCCCCAAAGCTTATGTTGAAAACTTACTTTAGGAGGGACAAAAGGAAGAGGGGGTGGGCATGGGGAGGAAATGGGAGGAATGCTTTTACAGGGTAGGGATTATAGTGAATGTCACAAAACAGAATGTGTATGGATTGTTGAATGGAAAATCAATTTGCTCTGTAAACTTTCACCCAAATCACAGCAATAAAATATAAATAAAGTTTAAAAGAAAAAAAACAGCTTACTTTATATGTAGTCCTTTAGTTCCAAGCAGAACATTTGTTCTACACGGCATCAGACAGGAGATGGGTGGTAAATCTTTCTATGAAGTGAGTGAAAATAAAAGGAGAATGCAATTGAAAATTATTTTACAATATAGCGGCTGATGTTTCACAGTATAGTAACCTTTTCTATTTCAAAAGCTTTGACTATGAGGATAGTGATGGATAGAAATCACAGCCAATTTAATGATAGTATTTAAACATTAGCATAGCACAGATTTAAAAAACTTCCACTCTAACTGTATCTAGATCTTTTCTTGATTTGTATTCAGAATGACACTTAGACCAGCCTGTGAGCAATCATCTCTGCCTCCTCCCTCCATTTAATCAGACTTAAGATGTTTTTGGAGCAGCCGAAGAGCTGTGAACAGCGGCCAAGGGGAGAATTAATGTCAAAATGGCCACAGCTCAGGTGAATAGCGGGCTATAATAAATAAATAAAAATAAAATCCCCAGACCCAGTGCCATCAAGTTGCTCCCAACTCACACAACTCCCATTGGGTTTCCAAGGCTGTATAAATCTTTACAGAAGTAGATTGTCTCATCTTCCTTCCACGGAGCAGCTGGTGGGTTTGAACTGCCTATCTTCTGGTTAGCAGCCAAATGTCTTAACCACTATGCTACCAGAGTTCCTCAAGTTTCAATAGGGCTATTTATTTCCAGTTAACTTTTATGTTAGAATCTATGCTTCTCCTTGTCTCTCTTTCATTCCCATGGTTTCACTTGCCCCCCTCATCTCACCCACCTTTTTGTTAACCTGTTTCCTTTCTCCTTCACAACCAACTTTTGTTTCGTTCTTTTAGCTATGAAAAGAAGGTGTTTTATTTTTAATAAATAAAGTTATATCCTCTTTTCTCAATTTAAGAATGCAAGTTAAATTGCCTAATTACCTTCCCAGTCACTCCCCCCCCCTCCCATCTCTGCCTACAGATGAAAGCAAACAAACAAAAAATCCTGCAACTTGATCTCTAAATTCCTTTTAGAGGAAAAAGTACTTTCCATTCTAAGTGTTGGCTAGGAAGCCTTTGGTATTCACTTTCCTTTTGATTGTATTCAGAGTATTATCATTAAGGACGTAATTGGTGAATTTGTTGCCATATTATATGTCTGATCTAAGTCTATACAGTTACTCCATTTTTAATAAATAAATAACCATTCTGTAGTTTAAGAATCTCTGGCTGTGTTTCTTTGGGTTTTCTGTATAAAACATCAACTTGTTCTGTGATGAATATGCCTGACATAAACCCACTGAGTTACTTTAAAGAAAAGTAGTCCTTTTCATATATTTTGCATCATGTTTATGGTACCTCAGGTAATGTCATGTGCAAGTAAGAACTGTAAAAATGTCTCCGCTGACAGTATTGTCCTGCCGCTTGATATAATCAGACTGTTGGAATGTTGTCTAAATGTTTCCCGTTGCTGCAGTTTTATGTCTTTGAAAGCCGCCTCATGCTGAAACTTAAAACTCTGAAACTCTTTCTGTTATCTTTTTCCTTTGGGGGCAGTTTGTACACCAGTGATAGTTAGCATGTTGTTACTGTGTTCTGTCAGCCGATTCTGGCTCACTCATATACAGCTTCTAAAAACCTGAGTACTAATGAATGAATCTGTTGGTTGTGGGGAGTTACTTAGTATTTTAAGGGAAAAAAACCTCTAGCCCAAACAAGGGATACTAGGGAAAGAAGTATGAAACCAAATGAAAAGTTTGTCCTAATGAAATAATTTTTCTTTGAGAGATAATTTGAAATTTTTGTATTAGTTAATTAAAACATATATTTAAAATCCGTGTAATTATTTAGTACAGCTGTTCTACTGCCACTACCATAAAGTCGATTCTGACTCATAGTCCTTTTAGGACATAGTAGAACTGCCCCGTAGGGTTTCCAAGGCTGTAAATCTTTACAGAAGCAGACTGCCTCATCTTTCTCCCATGAAGCAGAGCATTTGGTGGGTGCAAACCATCAGTGTTTTGTTAGCAGTCTGATGCTTTAAACACTGTCACCAGAGCAAGAACAGAGTGGGAGCACCTGAATTTGAACTGGGGACCTCTTGGTCTGTGGTTTCATGCTTTACCACCGAGCTATTGCAGGAGTCCTGGTGGTACAGTGGTTAAAGCATTCACCTGCCAACCAGAATGTTGGCAGTGGTACGTGCCCACCAGCCACTCTGCAGGAGAAAGATGAGACAATCAGCGTGCATAAAAAAGATTTACAGCCTTGCAAACCGTATGGGGCAGTTCTGCCCTATCCTGTAGGGTTGCTAGGAGTCAGAATCGACTCAGTGACAGTGGGTTTGGTTTTGGTTTTGACTCTATTGCATCTTTAGTTATACCAATATTATACCTTATACATGGATAGTATAAGTCCAAAGACAAAATTAACGAAAGAATATATAGAAATTGTTACTCATTTTAGTTAGTGTACTTTTACAGCAATACTTTCCAAATTATTTTGTTTTTTATCCAGTACCCTACAGACTTCCAGAATTTTTTTTTTTTTTTTAATAGGTATTAGAGTAGAGGTAATTTTGCATAGACTTTTGGAAAGTTGTATTCTGATAAATTAGATTTTGGTAGCCTTTAATACTGATTTTTGTGTATGTGTGAGAGACAGAAGAGTTCTGCTTAATGGTAGTTAGTTATCTTGTGATGCAGACACATTTTTTTTTTTTTTTTGATTTGGGTGAAAATTTACAGGGTAAATTCACTTTTCATACAGCAGTTCACATATACTTTGTCTCATGCCATTGACCAAAATTTACAATACAACAGCTCCCCTCACACTTCCTCCCCATAGTTACCTCTTCCCGATGTCCATCCCTCCATACTCCTCTGCGCCCTGAGCTGTCTCCCTGTGCATAAGCAGCCCTTCCTTCTCCCATGATTGTTCTCTCCAGGGTGTGTGTCTACTTGAGGTAAATGTTTAACTCACTTGCCTGTACTTTGCTTGGCTGGAAACCACAGGTGTGGGTTCAATTCCAGACCTGAAGGGCAGCTAGGGGCCACAGTCTCAGGGGTATCATTAGGTTATAGCAGACCAGGAAATCTGGTCTTTTTATATATATATATATAATATTGAGTTTTGTTCCACATTGTTGTCCCACTCTATGCAGGATCTTCTACGTAGATTCCCCTCCGAGTGGTTGACTCCGAGTGGTTGACAGTGGTAGCTGGACACCATCGAGTTCTTCTGGACTTGGTCATATAGGCTGAGGATCACATGGTGTACCAGTCCCTTGGAATAACTGTTTCCATGCATCTTTCGTTTCCTTCATTTTCATTGCTCTGGATGAGGAGATACCCATCATTGTATCTAGATAGCCACTTGCAAGCTTTTAAAATGCCCGTCACTACTCACCAAAGTAGGAACAGTGTTTTTGTGTAGTATGTTATGCCAGTTAAGGTTGATGTCCTCTGCAACCATGATTCCAAGCCCACAGGTCCAACTGCTTTCTCCCTCCAGGTAGCTGACTGTGGCCAAGAAGTCACCACAGCCTTGTCCCTTGTCAGCTCTACTATATACCTGGTCATTCTTACAGAACATAAAAATATGCTTGTAGATACATTGTCTGCCAACCCTATACATGGTCATGGGCACATTCTCCCACCACCACCACCACCAAGACATACCTAGACCTAGATTGTTCAGTCTGGCCACCCATCTGTCCAGCTTAGATCAGTGTGCCGTCACTGGCAATACAGTTCTGTATGTGCAGAAGGGTTCATCTTTGTTGTCTGTATCTCCCATGTACCTCTCGGTCTTCCTCTTCCTCAGTGCCATTGTGGTGATCACTCACATTTGGTGCATTGCCCTTCTCTTCACCCAAATCAATACTTGTCTCTACCTCTTGAACAGTGTTCCCTCTCCTCCCTTCCCACCCCTGGTAACCAAGAAAGAAAGTTTCATTCCATGTAGAAACCTTTCCTTGACTTTTCACAATAGCAGAATAATACAATGTGTGTCCTGTGATTGCCTTATTTCACTCGGCATAATGTTCTCCAAGTTCAAACATGTTATGCGGTGTTTTGCGGATTCTATGTTACTTAGACTGCAGAAGTTGATCAAAATCTTCAATTTCCTCATCTTTGGCTTTGGTGATTGGTGCATAAATTTGAATAATAGTCGTATTAATGG